CTCTGTGCTGACAGCTAGCTGAGAGCCTGGAGCCTGTTTCAGATTCTGTGTCTCCCTCTCTCTCTGACCCTCCCTTGCTCATGCTGTCTCTCTCTCTCTCAAAAATAAATAAAACATTAAAATTAAAAAAAACAAGTAAATAAACTTAAAAATAATAATAAAACAATAGAAAGAGGCTGGAAAGACATTTAACAAAAATTCCCTCTTTATGACGTTCCCTATTTCACAACTTTTTTTTTAAGTATGTCTTAGTTTTAAGATCTTGTGGGGAAACTATTCTGTGGTTATTGTTTTTAATATTTTTATATCAGAAGAGAAGGCTCTGCTTGAATCCCCTAGTGCTGAATCAAAGCCCACACCTGGAACCCAGAGGCCCTGGTCATGCAGAGAAAAGACTTTTAAACCTAAATAAAGGAAAACTCAAGGAAACAGAACCAGAAAGGGGCCCGACAGGGCCCAGGCCACTGGGGAAACCTGAGGTCCACACAGGGTGGGCTGGGCTGGGTAGGGCAGTGGGTGAGATCCAGGCCTGTCCCGTGTGCTGCTCTGTCTGTCTGTCTGGGCTGCTGGCAGCTTGAGGGGGGCCCCGTGAGGGTGGCAAGTAGCCGCCCATGCCAGGACCCTGGTCTGGGAGCTTGGCTCTCACAGCTGAAATCAGCGAAAGCGAGAACAGGACTCGAGTGGGAAAGCTTACCAGGTGGGGAGGCCATCAGTTAGGACCCTCGAACCCAGCAAACCAAGGCTTCCAAGCCAGATTCCAAAGGCACTGTCAGCCTTATGCTGCCTCTGGCTTTTCTGCCCGCCACTCACTACCCTTGAGCCTGGGAAAGCCACTGGCTGGGGGCCTGGGGGTCTGGGGGCCTGGGCCCACAGGCTGGGTCTGGAGAAGGACCCAGCACCAGGCACTGCGCAGCAGAGACGCGGGGGAGAGGGAGAACCAGCAGCCCACAGCCCACCTCCCCCAGGGCTGCCGCGGCCCGGGGAGCCTCACTGCCTTATCGTCCAGCCCGGGGAGTACAGACAAGCAGAGGAGGTGAGCAACGTGGAGAGAAAACAACACTGCACCTTCAGACCCGCCAAGTGCCTCCAAACGGCCTCCGTCCAAACCAAGCGCACCAACGGAAGAGCGGGGGAGTCCACAAGTCCCAAGTTCACACGAGTGAAAGTTCTCTTTTCTCATGTTCTCTTGAAGTCCTTTGCCCAGGTGCGCTTGAAGTATCAACAAGAAGCCAACAGCGCCTGCACTACAGGACACCACGGATCAGAGTCCCTGAGAGCTGGCGCGTGCCGTCAGGGCCCCGGGATCCCAGGCCAGCAGCGGCTTAGGGACAGAAAAGGCCACCATTCTCAGGACCTCGACATGGAGCAAGGGCCATGCTGGGCTCCCTCTCAGAGCCTCACTGACAACTGACACACGCCAGCAAGGCGGCTCGGGGCTCCTGCTCTGACCAGAGAGATACCACGCCTGTCCAGATGTTCAGCTGGCCCACACTCAGACTCCTTCCGGGCTCTTCTTGGCCTCCTTACTCCGAAGAAGACTCAAGTCATAGTGAGACGGGATGTTCTTGAGGTATGCTGATGCCAGGGCGAGGGAGCGGGGAGGGGCACTGTGACAGGGGGCAGGGTGCCAGGGGCCGCAGGCTGACCTCATGGATGGATGTGAGCAGGGCGGAGGAAGTGGAGGCCCACTCCACGGCCCCTCCTCCCCTCCGGACAGGCTCCCTGCACCGGCTCCCACGCCTCAGACCGTCACAGCCACAGCGTGGGCAGGGCGGCCGACACCGGCTCCCCTCCACACCCCCACTCCTGCCAGGCTATCTCTTTCCTCCCCTTCTTCGGAAACCGTAAGAACACCCACAAGGCAGGCCCTTCGGCCAAACCTCAGTGTGAATGGAAATTGCAAAATGCCTGCCCAAACTGGGAAAGGCCGAACTGGGCCCAAAGTGGGTCCATCTTCTGGCCACTTCGGTCACGAGCACTGAGACAGCTGTCACGATGCACAGGAGGTTACCTACTCAGGATAAAACAAAAACAAGAGCCACCTGAGGGACCCTCAGGCCAGAACTACACACTTGATAAGCTCACTACACTCTGATTTCTCCCGGGGCCTGAAAGCTGCCTTGCCCAGTGAGAAAACCTTTCACCAGCCAATGAAAAGAGAGCCTCTGCCCTAAGTCCGCTTCTCTCAACAGCTCAATTCTCGACCAGCTTGCTCAACCTCCAGTCCAGCAAGAGCTGGGCCAGGCAGCTAAGGGGCCTGCAGACTTGTCCATGGAACCTTAGAGATGCGAATGCCACCCCTTTCTTATTGCAAAGTCACAAAGGGGGGGGGGGGAACATCACAGGAAGAAAACACTAATCCGCATCACCCCACCCTAAAAATCCTTGATAAAATGCAGATCTCTGAACTCCCCGCTCCACAGGAACTCTCCCTCATTCAGTATTTACTTCCTGGGGCCTGAAAACCTGCATATTTAACAAATGTCCCACCTGAAGCTCATCCAGGAGTCTCAGGAAGCCCGCTTTGAGATGCCTGAGGCCTCATTCTCAGATTTGCCTCTGTAACTCATCTCCCGTTTGGACTTCATTCTCTTGTGCTATTTCTCGTTTTGTGTTAAGTGCATATTAGGAGAAGAAAAAAATCTAATTCTTCTAGGGATCTGATAGTTAAAGGACTTACTGAATATATATATTCAGTGCATTATGTGCATTTTCTATGGACGAAAACAACTGAATTACATTCAAACCTGAAAATTCCTGGCTATGCAACTGTGGAGGCTGATCTCGCCTCTCCCTACAGAAGCGAGGGACCACGTGCGCACACTCAGTCCGGGGACGCCGTAGATGCCCCCTCACCTTGATCTCAGCAGACAGCGAGAGCCAGCCCTAAATACGCTGTCACAGCCCGGACACAATAATGTATCACCACAGTACGACCCACGGCTGTCGGCGGAAATGTCTGAGTGATGTGCCTTCAACCTGTCATCGGACCACAGTGACCTCAATTTTTGGAGAAGTCAAGTCAAAACTCTACCTTTCTCTCCAGAGATCCAAGACATATTTATGTGTCGGCCTTCCTTCAACTTGTCCAGAAGCCTTCAAGAAAGTTTGAAAAGGCCACCACAGGCCCTGTACTGCCCCTGCCCCCAACATCCACCGATGTCCCCAAGTTCACCCCTGTGCGTGCTCATGCTGTGCTGTGACCACATCCCAGAGGTGCCTGGGTCCTACAGTGGGCTAGAGAGAGTGACTGGTGGGAAGGGTTCCTAGTGGTTATTGGGGGACAGGGAGTGCCGTCCGCAGTTGTCTTCCTCTGTCCAACTCTCTATATCGCTGCCACCTTTGTAGGCAGGTATCAACGACCTGACCTTCAGATGCTCTTAACTAGTATCGAATTTTCGAATCACTGTATTGTACACCCGATACCGGTATAACATTGTATGTTCACGTATACCTCAATAATAAATTTTTTAAGAAACGTCTTCACTAGCAAATGACAAAGAAGGAGCAGGGGACATCAAAGGCCCTCACCCTTCTCCTCTGGGCTCAGTCTTAGTCTCCCTTCAAGAGCAGTTCAAAAGGGAAATTCTTCTTCGTTCCCAAAGCAGAGCCGGTTCAATCCCATGGGATCTGTTACCTTGATGGTCGTGTCAGAATTATTTAAATGCATTTGTGTCCTCCCCCAGATGAAACTTGGTCAGACTTCTATCCCCTTCTTTTGAAGCCCCTGCTTGGTGAACTGTAGATTCTCAAAGAAAGAATTAACAAATTAAGAGCTATTTTCCGGCCATCAAGTTCCGCCTATACTGCAAATCTTCAAATACTAATCTCCCCATCTCAGGTTTAAAAACATGGACTTGTTTTTATTTTTTTTAACTCCCAACATAATGAATTAGTTTAAATATTAGAAGTTGAAATTATTTAGTAAATCATTTCACCTGCAAAGTTTCTATTTGCATAACATTAATTCATGATGGCAGCTAAAACAAATTCATCATATTCCGTGTATTAGAAGCTGATTTATGTAGGAATTGAAAAAAATCATGGGCTCAAAATTATGTTGACATGATGTACATGCTCAATGGAGAAAGATTTTTCTCTTTCCATCTTTTCCCTTTTTTTTTTTTTTAAATCATCTGAACAACTGAATTATGGTGAGGGGGAAAAGGATTTGAGCAGAGGAATGAGGCAAAGGACTGGCATCTCAGAAAATGAATAATGCTACGGCCTCACGTGTGTGGCAGGCTCTTGGTGCATATACACACACACTCTCCGGTTATTAATGTCAAGTATGCCAAAGATACGCTGCAAAATCATTACCATTCATCGCCACTAACCGCCATTAAATTTCAATCAATTCAACTTAGCACAAGTGTACTTGAGCGGCCCTTACAGTTCCTTATAAATGTGGCTCTGAAGTCGGGCTGACTTATTGCATTGTCCACCGCACAAAGAAGCATTGCTAAGCATCTGCTTGGACCCGGGGACGATGTTCTTTTAACACCCTAAGCATTCAAAGATCTTTCTTTTTCTGCGCTAAGAGGTCTTGAATCCCCACAGGTCAAGGCGCATGGGGAGTGGGGTGGGGGAGGGGCGTGGGCTGTGCTGGGAGACACCAATCTTTTCCTGCCTTTGGGGTGGGGACCGGGCGAAGAGAGGCCTCCTTGGCTGTCGTCAGTGTCGCAGATGCCTCACAGAAAAAGTTTCCGACGCCACCAAAAGTTTGGTAACACGTCTGCTGGCTCTGGCGAAAGGCTCTCAACTCTGCAAGCCCAGCTGACCTCGAGGCTCCCTCCCTGGGCGCGGGAGGGAGACGCAGGCTCGGTCCCCGCTTTGGGAAAAGGCGTCCTTCCCAGGTGCGGGGCCTCCGCGCGCTCCGGGACGCTGGCCCCGCGACAAAGGCGGCGGCGGCGGCGGCGGCAGCGGCGCGGGCCCACTGGGACCCGGCCCGCTGGCTTCCTTCCCCACTCGCCACGAGCACGGTCCGGCCCGCCGCCACTCGCCGGAGGCGGCCGGTGCGCCGGTTGGACAATGTGGCCATTGTTCGCGGAGCCGCGAACCAGGCCGGCGGGCAGGTGGGAGGAAGGCCGCGCGGCCGGCGCGCGGGCACTCGGGGCACCGACTGTCCCCCGGACGCGGGCACGGTCCCCACAGGGCTGGGCACGCCGCCTCCGGGGCCAGCCCTCGACCGACCGGGCAGCAAGTGGAGGGGTGGGGACTGGGTGGGGGGACGGGGAGAGGGGAAGGGAAAGCAGAGACAGGGAGAGAGAGTGAGAGAAGGGAAAAGATGGGAAGAGACAGGAAAGAAAAAAGAGGGAGAAAGAAACAAAGAGAGTTGGGAGAGGAAGGAGAGAGAGGGGGCAATAAAGCTGCAAAAGAGGAAATAGAGTAAGAGAAACGTTGAAGGAGAAAGGAGAGCGAGAGAGGGCGGAGGAGTAAAAAGGAGGGGGGAGAGAAGGATAGAAAGCAGACAAAGAGAAGAGGGAGGACAGGAGAAAGAGTAGGGGAGGGAGAGACAGACAGACGGATGTGCCACAGAACTGCACCGCAGGCTGCCCAGGAAGCTTCTGGAAAGACCAAGAGTTCACCCTATTTCGTAGAGGGAAGCGGTTCCAAACCCAGCGGAGTCAGCAAAGTGTAATCACACCAGGGGCTTTGCTTAATTACAGGTTTCCGAGCTGGGCTGGAGGAAGAGAGATACTTATGTGTGTCCCGGGGAAGGCCTAGGCAGGCACTCAACTGGTTCGTAAGGTTGGGGAATACAAATTTCCCATCCCCACCGGCTGCCTGCCCAAAGCCCCCAGAGCCAGCACCCCGGAGGAGAGGCTAGGGTCTGCAGCCAGGGAGACTCAGGCTGCCCAGGGAGGGCCATCCTGGCCCGGCTTTGAATGCTCAATGGCTCCAAGGAGTCCCAGGCTCAACCAGCCCACCCGGTGCAGCCGGTCATCGGTGAGGCCGCAGGCCTGGGGAGGCTCCGCCTCGGCCTGCGTCGGGGCCATCCACCCTCCTCCCCACCCCCCAACCCCCGGCCTCACTCCCTGGAGGCCAGGGGCCCCCCGGCCCAAGGGGGGAAATCAATCCCGTGCTAATGAATAAAAAGTCCCCTTTATTTCACTGCTGTTTTTGGTTCATTAAATTTTCCACAGATTTGCAGCGAAGAAAACATAATCAATAAGCCCCGACAAAAGTGAATGTGTGAGAAAGGCCAGAGAATGGAAAAGCGAGATAAAAGTGATATCAGATCGCAGATTTCAGCAGCAGATGACGAGCTGGGGGCTGAAGAAGAATCTCAATGGACCATCACCCTTTCGCGGCTTTCCTTCCCTTTGCTGCAGCTCTACATTCAGGACAATAGTAAATGCACTGAAACTTTTTTCTTATGCTAATGCATGAAACCGGGCACTCACAGTTAAAACACACTTCCCAGCAACCTGGTTGTTTTTTGTTTTTGTTTTTGTTTTTTTAGCAACACGCTTGCACAGACCTAAAACCACAGTAACGTATTCAGTTTAAAGCAAAATCTCAAAAAAGTGTAAGATGCACTCTTGGGTCATGTCTTAGATGACTTATTTTCTGCCCTCTGTGAGTTTTTCAAGAAACCAGAACACACGCAGGATTACCGAGGATGCTTTTGTCGGGGAAGAAATGGGGAGAAGCAAGAGAGTAAAACCGAAGAAAGGACGCTGTTCCTGTAGGTGCATTTTCTCGGGGTTTTTCCACATGGCTTTGTAGGTGAAGAGTGTTTCCTGCCACCCTCAAAATCTAAAAACAATGACCTGTGATCTGCTTTTTTTGAATCTTTTAATCACCCACAGCAAACACCCAAATGAATCTTAGAGAAAACGAGTAACATTGAGTCTGGTGCCGTGTGTCTATTTAAGAACCACAAAGCTACTGCTCTTTACCAAAGGACGCCACCAAACACCGGTGTCCCCTTCCCTGGGGACACAGGACACGAGCCTCAGGACACAATTACAGGGTAGCCTTCCTCAGGGAGGTCTTCAGACTCCGGTGAGCCTTGTTCGCGGAGGCTGCTGCACAGTCTGGGGGTGGGTACAGTCACCTATTCCGCCTCTGGATTTTCTGGAATCTGACAATAGTTCCTCTCTTTGGCATTCTCCACGTGTTTCCTGTGTCCATGCCTCTGACACTTACTGAAAAGAAGAAAGGGGGGAACGGCTTCCCTGGGGTTCCCTTTCAAGGGGCCATGGCCCAGCGGGGACAGCTGTGGCCAGCCGGCGAGGTCCACCCGGCCTGGCCATGTCCTGCACCAAGGTCGGGCTCTGGCACAGGAAGAGATCTCCCCCCCGACCGGGGCCTAAAGAAGGAAGACTGGTTTGCTCCTCCTCCTCCCTCACACCAGCGTCATGAGTGAGGAGTGAGCGTCCTTCGGATGAACACACACTTGGCCAAGAAAAAGCAAGCACCCTGTACCCGGAGGGCACACGAGGGTGTTGGGCTCTTTCTAAGCATTAACAAGCCAGCGGGGTATGTAGGGTCACGCGGGCCTTCGGAGTGCACACGACAACCTTCTGGTCTCATTTAATGGGAATTGCTGGCATCTGGGGGGGTGAAGTGCCCCCCCTCTGCCCCTGGGAGTGGGGGGCAAGGGAGGCCCTGATGGGAGAAGGGTGTTTATTAGACAAATATCCAATTTTGTCTGCCTGCCTGTCCAATCCCCTGGTTGGCTAATCCAGCCCCATGGGCCGCACTGTGTACAGGGCACTTGTGGGAGTACAAAAAGCATGAAGTATTTGTGTATTTTTCAGTCGGCAGTGCAAACAAGCCGGCTACAGTACACAGCCCCCAAGACCCCCAGAGCCTGGCAGTGAGGCGCTGACCGGCGGCCCTGCGGCCCCCTCTTCTGTCCAGGCAACTCAAAGGCTCTCCTCTGTCCGAGGGTCTCCTGGAGGCCGGGAGCACCCCCCCACCCTGAAAACACAGAGTGGCACTCCAGAAGGGCCTCGCCTAATTCCACACACACACTTCTAGGTGGGCCAAGCCTGGAGTCCCCTCCAAGGCCTTGGCCACGGTCAGTGCAAGCTGGGGAGGGTCCCCACCCACAGCCTGGGAGGTTCTGCGGAAAGAGTCTGGCCCCTGCAAATTCCCCTCAAAATAATTCCCACGAAAGATAAAAACCTCTCTAACGGTCCCGCCCTGTTCCTCGTGAGCCTGGCCCGGTTTTTTTGGGGGGGAGAGGGGGCGATGGTTCTCCCTCTCAGCCTCACCCAGTGACTTGGAAAACAGATTGCTCTGACTCATCTCTCAGAAGCCAGAGCAAGGGCCGGCCAGGTCACCTTCATGGGCCCCGAGAACCGCTAACTCACATCCCGAAATCAGCAGGTTTCTCAAAGCAGAAGGACAAGACAAGACCCAACTTGAGTCCTATGAAACAGTCACTAACTTTGAAACTCTCAGACAAGTGACAACTTTCCTTATGTCTGGGTTTGAAGGGAGTTGAAATCAGGGAGACAACCTCACAAGTTCCTGTAACCCTCAGCCAAGGGAAGGGGAAGCAGGCAAGTCTGGGAAAACGAAAGCAAGAAAGATGAAGGAAGAGAAGCCAGAAGTACAATCTGAGGGGCCAGGAGGGAGGGAGGCCTGGAGGGCACACATCTGCAAGGTCTAGAGAGTCCACATTCTAGAACAGCCCCAGGGCAGACCAGAAGCTGGGAAAAGCCCAAATAAAAAACAGCAGAATTAAAAGTGGCCAAGCGTGCCCTCCCCTCCCCCGGGGAGGAGACCGGCCCAGGTAGCCACACAAAGAATTCCCTCGGGACCGTGCCACTGCAAAGTGGCTCCAGGCCCTGGGAGGCCTGTCCCCAGGCGCTGGGAAGCGGAGGTAAGGAAACTCCAGCCAAGGTAAGGAAATGGGCGGGGAGGGGGCTCCGAGGTGAAGTGGCCAGGACAGAGCTCATGGGGGGGCGGGGGGGCACGTGCGACAAGCCTCCGCTTTCCACCGCTGTATATTTTGGATTTCACAGTTTATTTACTTTACTTTTTGGCACCGAGCCCCCTGAGCATGCCAATACAATATTTGTTTAAACACTATTTTATGCCGCTTGCGAGGGAAACGTTTACTTTCAAATTCTCCAACATCCCCCAGAGCCTCGTCTGCAAACAGCATATGAGCGTTTTACAACTGCTCCCTTTATCTGAAGCTGTCGGGATTAAACCTTCACACGCCCGGGGAGGGCGGCGGGGAGGGGGCCCGGGGCTGCGCGCGGCCACCAGGCTGCAAAGCCCGCGCCAGAGGCCGTGCGCCCAGCGGGGTGCCGGGGGCGGGAGGGCGGCGCAAACCCCCACCCCCACCACCACCACCCAGGGCCCGGCACTGGACTTGGGAAGGGTCCGCTTTTCCAGCATGGATCTACCCAGAGAGCCACATAAAAATTCTACAAAAGAGACAGGAGTTGAGGGAGGGACCCAGGCGGGGTTTGGGGGGCGGAGCGGGGGGGGGGGGTAACGAGGCCCGCAAGCGCCTCCGCAGTCGGTCACCCAGGGTGAAGCACGCGGGCTCCATCCAGAGCTCCTCGCGCTGTAAAATTCGGGTTTCCTAGGAAATGACAGCAATTACTGCCGGGCTGAAAAGGCGCCGAGCAGGGTGGACTTCCAGCTCCCCAACGCGGCGGGCGCGCTCACACTCACACACGCACACGCACACGCTCCCTTCCTCCTCCCCTCCCTCCCCACCCTCCGCCCCCGTCCGGGGAAAAAACGCTCCCCTCTCTAAACCCTTAATAGGATTGGCGCCCAACTCTCTACGCGCCTCTCCCCATCCATCACACACAGATCAAGTTGCAGTAGTGGATTTTTCAAATTCCTCAGCAAATATACTTGTTGAGAGATTGGCCCTTGGGGGGCTGGGGGGGAGACGATGAGTGGGGGTGGGGATGAAAGTGAGGGGTGGGGGGCCCCGAGGACTGGGCCGGGGATTACGTGCGGATCCCTTCGAGAAGTCAAGCGGCTCTAGGGGCGGAGGGCAGGGGAGGAGGAGGAGTTGGAGGAGAGGAGCAAGGAAGGAGGCCGAAGGGGAGAGCCTGACCGAGGGGGAGGGGGCGACGGGGCCCGGAGACCGGGAGGAAGGAGCGAGGAAGAAAGAAAGGGAGGGCTCCGCAAAGGGTGAGCGCGGAGAAGTGCACTTAGAAGTTCACAAGTGGCTGGCGGCAGCCCCTCCACACACCGCCCACTCCCCTAAGTCACGCTCCCACCGCCCGCCTCCGGGAGCTTCGCAGCATCCCAGCCTCCGGTGCTTCCCACCGCCTCCCGCAAAAACAGCCCGGCTCCCAGGCGCGGTGAAGACGGGTCGCGGGGCCGGCCAGGCTGTGCACCGGGAGAGGACGGGCTCTTCCCCCAGGTAGGAAGGGGATGCGAAATCGCCCACCGGCCACAAGTTCCTCGCCCTGGACTCCCCGCCCCCGCCGCCCATCCCCCCCACTTTTCATCCCCGCCCGGCTCGGCCGGAGCCCGAAACGGCGCCGCCTCGCCAGACCCCGGCCTCCCAAGCCCGGTGCCCGGATCCCTGTGCCCAGGCGAGGGTGCGCGGCCGAGGGGGCCTCCGAGACGGCGCAGCATCACAGTGGGCCCGGGCTCGGCCGGGATAGGGTGCACTTCGCAACGAAAAGCAAGCAAAAGAAGGTCAATGCAACTTTACCGAGGGAGACAAAAGTTTGCCTCTAGCACGCAGGTGGCCTCCGGGGCGCCGGGCGGTGGCTTCGGGCCCCCATCCCAACTTGGCTGGCGCGGCGACCCACCGCGGGCTGCCGTGTACCGGAGCTCAGTCCGGCCGGGGCGGGGCGGGCCAGGCAGGGGAGGGGACCGAGAGGCGGGCGCGGGGTGGGGGTGGGGGGCAGCAGCCCCTACAGCCGGCGAGCCGGCAGCTCCCCTTGGCTCCCGCGCGCCGCGCGGCCCACGCTCCTTCCTGTGGCTCCTCGGGCTCCTCTGGCTCCCCCGGCGCCTCCTCGCCTTCCTGCGCGTCCGCCGCCGCCACCGCCGCCGCCTCCCGCTCCTCCTCGAAGTCTCATTGATGGGAGTTTGAAAAAAAGTCCGCGGAGCCGTGCTGCCTCGGCTGGCGAGCCCCGGCACTCCTGCAATCCATCAGCGCCGCCCGCACGGCGCAGCGCCCCCGCGCGCACGGCCGCCGCACACCCCGGCGCCGCGCCCCCGCCCGCGCCGCGCGCCCCCGCCCCCGGGGGGACCCGGGGGACCCTGGCCGAGGGGGACCCGGGGAGTGGGGAGGGGGCGGCCGGGGATCCTCGGCCCCAGCCCCGAGCCTCGAGAAGAAGCACACCTACGAACAAAGTTCGAGCGGGGAACGAAAGAACGCGCCAGTTTCCAACACTTCTTTTTTTTAAGGCGCCGGGGTGGGTGGGTGGCTGGGGTGGGTCGCTAACTCAAGTCAGATGAGCTCCGGAGCTGAGGCGCAGGGACTGCTCTGTTTTCAATCTCTGAGATCACCCGCCCTCTCCACCTCCCTCTTCCCCTCCGCCTGGAGATGCCCGGGTCGCAGTTCCCAGCGCGCCCGCTCCTCCGGGCGCCGGGGCGGAAGCCGGGGACTGGAGGCCAAGGGGGAGGGGGGGAGAGGAGGGCGAGTGGCTCCGAGCGGACCCTCTTCTGGCAGACTGAGCGCGCAGGTGTCAGGGGTCCCGCCCGCGCCCCACGTCGCGGCTCGCACAAGTCGCCTTCTGAGCGAGCGCAAGCGAGAGGCGAGAAGCCTTCTAGGTTTGCTACATGTGTGTTTCGTAGGGAGGGTTTTGTTTGCTTTGTTTTTGTTTTGTTTTGGCTTTTTAGAGACTCCACGCTAGCTGCCACAGCCAGA